TTGCCCGGGGGCCGGGTTTCCCCTCCACCACCGTATGGTTTTTTATTGATGTATCCGAGGTGTTTTTTTGCCCCACTGATGGTTAGTCACTCGCGTGAAGAACCAGGGAGGGTGTTCGTGGGTCTACGGACATGGTGGATACATTACCCGTACGTACAAGTGTGACGCAGATGGTGTAGAACCTTTAAGGTAGGGGTACGGTGATGAAGCACCGGGACTCCCTTTGTTGAGTGCAGCAGCCGTGCTGCTACTCTCTCTCTCTCTCTCTCCTCCTCCTTTCCGAGCACGACAGCGTCCTGGGTACGGGCGTTGTTTCACCGTCTGAAGTTAATACACTACACAAACAAGTCCCGATAAGTACGCGGAGTACGGCCGACAAACACCCATGTTATCCTCGTTAAATCTAGTGCATCCGATGCGCTCATCCGGAACGATGAAACTCCAGAGATCGCGCAAGAAAATCGTTCCCTTCAACCCGTCGCCATCGCAACAAACTCGGCTTTGGTCGAAGAAAGTCCGTCGCGTTGCTCGCGTAATCGGAGTCAACGGAAAGTTCCAACCAGACACCGACCTCCGTTCCCCGCTGATACGTGATACCTAGACCGACCGTGAACCTGACAGAAGTCAAAACATGCAACGCCGCACGCCAATGCACCATCTTGGGGGCGTGGGCATACCTCGCCACAGCTCGCACTGCGTTGAGGATGTCCGGGCGAGTCTGATTCGCCAGCCACATCACGAGCCCTACCAAAGATCGAAAAGGCTCAAGAACACCAGGCTCTGCATCGTCAAAATGTTCAAGCTTCAATCCTACTGCCATGGGAGTCTCCTTGTTGCGTGTGACACCGAACCTCTCAAAAAGCGTACAAACTCAGCTCCCCAAGGTTCTTGATCGGGACGAAAGCGTTCAAGTCTCTGCCAAACTGGTCACAACTACTCTTGGTCTCGATCGAGAAAATGTCGTCGACGTGCACAACAACCACCATTGTCACAACATCATCCTCGATCAGATGCATGACACAAGCATCAGCAGCACACTGCTCAAACCCAAGGCGCTTCATTGCTTGGAGCAAATGGTGATGCCACATGCGGGACGCTTGCTTCAGACCATACAGGCTACGGGCAAGCTCGACAACTTTACCCGAGAGAGAGCCACAACCTTTCGGCAAACGAATGTATTCATCCTCTTCCAGCTTTTATTAAACGATCGCCTGCTCAGCATCGAGGTGCACAAAATCCCAACCAAGATGACAAGCAATGGCGGCAAGAACGCGAATACTACTAGCAGAAGGGGCACAGCGTTCCCCGCTGACTATAACCTCTTGCTACCAGTCTGGCCTTTGCACGTGTCACATCACCGAACTCGTTGGACTTCCAAAGGTACACCCATTTGGCAGAGATGATGTTCGTCCCTGGCTGCTACGAGCCTGCCGCCGGCGAAAAAGTCTCTGCCTCGAGAATTCCGGTGAACTCCGCGTCCTCAGCGCTGTACCAGATGTCGCTGTCTTCGCCTGAGTGCGCCTCCACCCACGTCGTAGGGGTCACGCGCTCGCTTGCAGGCCCATCCGGCAACTCCGGACCCCCAAAGCGCCGCTCATCGTCCATTCACGCGTCGAAGTCTTCCGCCATTGCAAGCATCGCCAACACCCCCGGTGACCGCGGCAGAGGCCCAGCGGCAGCCAAGCGCCGCGTGGATGACCTCGTGACGGAGGGGGTGACCTGCTGACGTTGCTGCTGGGTCTGCATGTGTGGCGCGCGCGGGGGCCGGCGCGGGTCGGGGCCCCTCCGGTTGGGGTCGATGACGAAGCTACGGTCGGGCGCATCGCGATCGCGGACCCAAGTGTGCACGCCACGGGCGTCGCCATCTCCTCCATCACTGTCGACATCGACGCCGCTGCCGTTGCCACCGCCGCTGCGGTCGTCCGAATGTCCGACGCCAACGCGGCGACCGGGGACGGCGCTGCTGCTGCCGCCCGCTACCATTCCCCCCGCCGCCGGTGCCGCCTCCATCGCCGCTGCGTCCGTCCGAAGGCCCGACGCCAACGTGGTGGCCGGGGACAACGCTGCTGCTCTTATCGTGTTAGTGTGCACTGCCGCCCTCAGCGGCCTGTGGTGTTGAGGCTGTGTGTAATGAAATCCCAGGAACATTAGACTAGATGAAAAATGACCATGTACAAGGTATGGGGGGGTAATGAGCCGCGTGGTGCGACTCAATACCTTGCAGTAGTCTATCTGCGATGCTGTGCGAAGTACGGTGTGTGGTAGAGGACACCATCAGCGTACATGCAAGTGATTGGCCGCATACAGTAGACGTTGACGTTGAGGAGCCGTGTACGTCAACGGGAAAACCTTCGTGTGGATATCTAGATATACGTTTATACATGATCATTCAAAGGCATGGGAATTTAAATGCATGCTACTCATGTGACAGCACAAAAACGTACATAGATCTACATGATGAGGCACTCGTTCTCGGATGCTTGACGTAAAAACAATGACTTTGTATGACTGGTTCAAGAGATGAACATTACAGCAGTAGTCTTGATTTCGCTCAGCACTATGTCTACATGAAGGGTAGTCAATGACAATAATCAACACTTTGTATATTCCAATACGCCATGGTGGTTATCTGACGACATAGTCCAATCGAGGTTCGAAAACAGGTCAAGGTGGGGTGCTATCTGATGTCCGCACGACCTAGTTTACTACACACATACTACACACGCGTAGATCTACATACATAGTCTACACATGATTTCTATTGACTTGCTGACCCCTCGGGGCAAGATTATTTGAGTATACCTTTGTAGGGTTAGTTAACCTGTGACCACGGGAATCGACCGCGTCGAGTGTTGGATCAGTACGGACATACGAAGGTACTGGGTAGAGAGCGCTCGGAACGGTATTTTTATGTGAAGACAACAACAACAACAACAACAACAACAACAACAACAACAACATAGACACATTTTGTAACATAGGGGCTTTGTTGGAGATGAGGGCAACTACTGGAGCCATGAGCACTAACAATCACACGGTGTGTTGGGTACAGCGGTAGTAGCCGTGGTGGTGCTGCTTACAGCGGTAGTACTGCTGTGCAGTAGCACATCGTGGTTGTGTTCATTATCATCAATCCACCATAGAATCACCGAAAATGGTACGCAAATGTTTCTATTAATAGTCTAGTCTACAACAGATTGGCGCAAGACATGGAAACTCCCTCGGCCGAAGGTTCATGAAAACTTACAGATGGGAGACCAAGCGATTATGGAACAGCAGCAGAGCGAGAAGCCACGCCCACGCAGAAGTGTGCATCATCGGTAGGGTTGCGAGGTGCACCAGGTACAGGCGTGCGACGGTGCGATGGGTGCTGGGGGGGCGTGCGGAGCGGCGAGTTCCTTGGCGTTTGCTGTGACGTCACTGGCGCAGATTTGTGGCTTGAGTGGTTACAGGTAAGGAAGAGGTAACGTTCCTCTCCTGTCCAACCTTTTGAGGCTGTTCCGTGTTG